TCACCGTCGAGGTAAAACGATAACATTCCGAACCAGCAAAAACGCTGATATCGTTTTGTAGAGCTCCCGTTAAATTTCATATTTAAAATAAAACTACACTGAGAAAACTACTCTCTGCCGTACTCTCTGCCGTTTTCTCCTAAAAGAAATTCATTTGACCCCTGGAATTTATTTTCTTCACTGTAGCTACCTGTGCACTTTACTCTAAACCGAGGGTAAGGGTTACGTGGAGTTTCCCCCACGTAAAATTTAGAGAAACTGGCGCCCGAGATTAAAACCGACTATATAAGTTATTAACTAACATTACCGTTTAGAGTCCAGTCCGAGGAATAGAAAACCTTTCCGAAAAATTAAATTACAGGGGGTGTACACACCATAGTTAAAAGTAATAAAAATTTACACCGAAAGATCCATAGAGAGAGAACCGAGGAAAAGTGCGTCACAATATTTTACTTTATAACCTGAGTACCCAATCATGTGTTAATCTACTTTTTTTCGGCTATATCTTGTTCTTTTTTCTGTAAAAGATCTATTCACGGGTTGAATTTTGTAATTCTGATTTCGTATTCGTGATCAGTGACCTCGAAAACCCCCGTATACCAAATTTGGCGCGAATGTTATTTTTGAAAATTTGGTCGGCCGCTATCTTAAGTTTTGCAAAATTGACCTCGACTTCGTGATCAGTGACCTCGAAAACCCCTTTATACCAAATTTGATGCAAATCTGTTATTTTTTGAAAATTTGGTCGACCATCTTGGATCCGCCCTCTTGAATTTTGCAAAAACTGACCTCGGATCCGTGATCAGCGACCCCGAAAACCCCAGTATACCAAATTTGACGCGAATTTGTTATTTTTTGAAAATTCGTGATATCTGACTTTAAATTTACCCGTTTTTTTTGAGGTTAGAAAAAGAACCATTAATGCTGACCGCGGATTCACGTTAGGCGGGGTCTTAACTATATAAATGAACATTTGAAAATAGAAAAAAAATTTTTGTATTTTTCCTAGCACTTTTTCATGAATTTTTGCTATTTTTTACCTGTTTTTTAAGGTTAGCAAATTCCTGTGATGTGATAGCTCAATTCTGACACAGGATTCGTGATCAGAAGGCAAAAATACTACAGATAACATATGTCGCATGAAAAGGAAAGACTACTTTTCTTTTTTTGTGTGGCTGTGATTATCTATTCCAGATGTATGTATCTAGATCTGATTAATTGACCCGTTTTTTTGAGGTTAGAAAAAAAACCATCAATTTTTACCGCTAATTCACGTTCGGCGAGGTCTTAACTATATAAATGAATATTTGAATATAGAAAAAAACAATTTTTCTAATTTTCCTAGCACTTTTTCGTGAATTTTTGCTATTTTTGACCTGTTTTTTGAGGTTAGGAAATTCCAGTGATGTGATAGCTCAATTCTGACACCGGATTTGTGATCAGGATGCAAAAATACTACTGATAACATATGTCGCATGAAAAGTACAGACTACTTTTCTTTTTTTCTGCGGCTGTGTAATTCATCATTTTTAGGAAAAGGCTTTATCCACGATATTTTGGAGAATGCCATACTTCTGACATGGATAGTCCAAAAAGAGCAAAAAAAATTGGAGTATTTGTAGAAAAAATAAAAATGCAAACAATGAAGATCCAAAATTTGCAGCAGACAAAGAGTCGTCTAAAAGCCAGAATTTGTAGCCTTAATTCTCTTCTGAAATTTTTGAAAAGGAAATATGACAACAGAAACTGCTCAATGTATCATTCATGTTTAAATAAACAATACGTATTTTTAGCATGGACCTTATAAACTACTACTAGGTCAATGATTTTTAGGAATCAGCACCTGGAATGTTAGGTGAAATCTGTTAAAGATCAAGAAAATGACAATCTCGTAAAAAGTACTCACCTGAGCTTAGGTCGTTTGCCTTAACGTTAAGCTTTTTTTTTTTTTAATTTATTTTCCACTGAGACAATATTACATTGTATGGGAATAGTCACAAGAGTTGGAAGTAAAAATACACTCCAAAAAACACCAACAAAGTACAAAAATTAATATATACAATACAAAACTAGTTTACAGAATTATAATATTCAGTTAAAGAATAGAAAACATTTTCAATCAGGTAACCTCTCAACATCTGTTTGAATTCAGTTTGACTACGACAAGACTTTATACAATGAGGTACTTTATTAAATATCTTTAATCCAATGCAATTAGGTGAATTCTTAGTCATATTTAATTTTGCAAACGGTAAATAGAAATGATTTCTTTGTCGCGTATCATGAGCATGAACATTCTCATTCAAATTAAAAGAACTTGATTTACTGAAAACATAATTACATATGTCAAAAATGTATAAACAGGTCAACGTTAATATACCATACTTTTTGAAAAAAGGTCTACATGTCTCATTTAGATTTATATTAGCAATACATCGAATAATACGTTTTTGTGCAATAAAAACTTTTTGACTGTTTGTAGAAATGGCCCAAAAATATATTCCGTATCTCAATACCGACTCAACCTTTGCATAATAAACATTCAATAATTGTTTTATTTCAAAGACACATCGTAAGTTAATAAAAACATATCTTAATTTATTCAAAGTAGCTATGATTTTTTCACAGTGTGAATTCCAATTTAAGTTTTTATCTAAATATAGACCTAAGAAACTTATAGAATCACATGAATTAGTTAATACAGTGTCATAAATATTTAGAGATATATCTTCAACTTTTCTCTGGTAAGTATGAATACGCAACAATTCAGTTTTTTCTGAATTAAAAAATAAATCGTGACGATTGAAAAAATTTACGACATCATTTAATATATTATTGCATTTTTCTGTTAAAAGGTTATCATTTTTATCTGATATAATTATTGATATATCGTCAGCGTAAGCAGTAAAATAACAATTTGACAAGACTGAAGTAATTTGGTTAATATACAGTATAAACAATATAGGTCCCAGTATGGAGCCTTGAGGTACACCCCGTTTAACATTTATTGGATTGGATCGAAAATTTATCAAATTATTCCGCGTATCTTGAAAACAAACGAACTGTTTGCGGTTACTCAAAAATGAAGTTAGCCAGTCCAAAGGGACACCTCTGATACCATACATATTAAGAATCTCCAACAATTTTTCATGATTAACACAATCAAAAGCCATACTTAAATCACAGAATACTGCGACTGGGCTTTCTCCTGCGTCCATACATTCCATAATCTTATTATAAAAAGAAAACATGGCAGTAGTAGTAGATCTATGTGGACGAAAACCATGTTGATGATTTGTAATTATATTACTTCTGTCTAAAAAATTCTGTAGCCGATCTGAAAAAGCATATTCAAAAAATTTTGAGAAACTGTCAGGAATAGATACAGGTCTATAGTTTTTTATTAAAGATACATCATTCTTCTTATGCAAAGGCACAATCTTATTGTTCTTAAACTGTTGCGGAAATTTGCCCGACCCAAATGATATATTTATTAGGTAAGTAATGGGATACAATATTGATCTTAATATTTTTTTCAATAGGAACAAAGGGATTTCATCCTCTCCGAAGGATACCTTATTTTTTAATTTATTATTAAGTAAACAAAATAATTCTTCTTCCGAAAATGGATATAAATACATAGAATTGTTATTGTAGTAATTTTCTTCGAGAAATAAATAATCATCGGCAACAGGCGGTATCTTTTTTACAAGTTCAGCAGGCGTTTGCACAAAAAAGTTATTAAATTCATTTGCTATAACATGAGGATCTGTTAGTATCTGATCATCTTTTTTGATTTCAACATTAAGTTTATGTTTTTGACTTTTTCCAGTTAAATCTGAAACCACATTCCACAAAGTCTTAGTATTATTGTTGCTACTAGCAACTCTATTTTGATAATATTTTTTTTTCTTAAAAGATAATAAATTTAAATGCTTTCTTTTTGCATTTTTATACAGAGTAACTAGATCTGGATTTTTCATTTTCAGTCCATACAAATCCCTCAAATTTTGACTTGATAATATTACTTCTCTGTCAATCCAATTTTTTTTATTAGCTCTTGGATAAATCATCATTTATTCAACAGATGCTTATAATTATGCAAGAAGTTTTAACATGGCTTTGCCACATACAACAACAATTTCTGAGTGGTACAGATCTATAGATGGAACACCTGGATTTACAAATGAAGTATTGGCTGCTATTAAAATGAAAGTAAGAGAAACAAACACAACAAACAAGTAAGTGAAATTGTGTTTCTGATATTATTGCCAAGTCAATTGGAAATCAAGGCGTAAATCCCGCCATATTCCTCCACAATTTGCCTAAAATATCATCATCTTTTTTTGCTTCTGCTATTATTGAGTCAGATGTACGCCAGGCTATTTTGAAATTGAAAAATACCAGCTCTTTAGATTATTATGGAATTAGTAGTATCATGGTAAAAACCTCGCTTGAGTTTCTTGTTGCACTTTTGACCATATTATTCAATAAGTTTTTTAATGAGGCGGTTTGGCCTGACTGTCTTAAAATAACTAAAGTACTTCCTATTCATAAAAAAAGGAGATATTAATAAACTTGACAACTATAGACCAATATCCATTGTTCCTGTAATTTCTAAAATATTTGAAATATTAATTAAAGAAAAATTGATCTCATATCTCAATTTGGATTTAGGAAAAATCTTTCTACTATCAAAGCCTTATTAGCTATATTAGATCAAATAGTTGAGGGATTTGATCAAGGTAATCCCACACATGCAATTATGTGTGATTTGTCTAAGGCTTTTGACTGCGTAAATTTAGAAATACTGCTAGTAAAATTAGAATACTACGGAATTCGTGGCAAAGCATTGCAATTATTCCAATCATACTTGACTGACAGACGGCAATATGCGTGTCTCAATGACTGTGAATCTGCTTTAATACCGGTTAAGGCTGGTGTCCCTCAAGGTTCGGTCTTAGGGCCTATACTATTCCTTATTTATATCAATGACTTACCTGTTAACATTCGTAATGCTTCTTGTATACTCTTTGCCGACGATACAACCTTGTTAACCCGTGACAAGAACAGCAGAGACAGTCTAAATCCCGCGAATGACTGGTTTTCGGCAAATAATCTAAAATTAAATATTAGTAAAACAAACTTCATAACTTTTACAACTAGTAAAAATTCAGAGAAGTCTGAACCAGTTAATTTGCTTGATATTACCCTTGACCCTGGTTTAACTTGGATACCTCATATCAATAAACTATGTTGAAAACTAGCTACGCAGATAATCTTTATGTGACAGATAAGACCATTTGTCACTAATAATGTAATGAAAATGGTTTATTTTTCATTAATACATGGTAATTTAACCTATGGTGTGCCATTGTGGGGCAACTCTAGTGGTTCGTATAGAGTTTTTGTGTTACAAAAAGCAGCTGTTCGTCTACTTGCGGGTGTCCCTATGTTAGCTCCCAGCAAGGAGATATTTGTCAGGTATAAGATTCTACCACTGACCTGCCTATATCTACTTGATTCGTTTCAACTCGTTCATTCCAATTTATGTAATTTGCAATCTCATGCTGATATACATCAATATAACACTAGGCATGCTGGAAATCTGGTTGAATCTTATTCGCGTATTACCCTAACCAAACGTAACAAACTTACAATCAGTCTGTTCAACAAGTTTGACAATTTTTGTAGACGAAAACAGATTAAAAACATGTCTCAAAAAACCTTTCACAGGTTTACGAAATCATTTCTTTTAAATCATTGTTTTTATACTGTGGATGAATTTTTAACTTTTATGAACACTACTCAGCCTATGTTATGACTATAAATGTACCACTTAATGTACATAAATGTCAATAAAGTTCTATCTATCTATCAAAGTCACGATATTCGTCGATAAACCGAAAATATTGAGCCTTGAGATCGGGATTATGTATAAATTTTCGCTTGAGAGTTAAAAGTCGTTTTTTCGCGATTTCGTATGATTCGCCCAACTTGCATGGACTTTCTTTTAACGGAATTGTTACGATAAATTTCTCGTCGGTATCGGGCTGAACAGTTTCTGTAAAGTGAGATTCGCATAGCTTTTCTTCGTGTGAGAGAGGCTTTACGTTTGAAACCTCCTCGAATCCAACCAAATTTGGTGTTTTGCAAAATTAAGCCTTGGTTCGTTAATTTGATTTGACCTGACGATAGAATTTGCTAAAAGCAATCGGCTCCCAGTAGGATGTCTACCTTACCTGGCAGATAATAGTTCGGAGTTTAATGTTGCTTGGAACTTGTAAACATTTAGTATCGACTCTAAAGTTCGGCAAATCATCCGTGATTCGAGGTACAACTAATAACGATGTTCGAGACGTGAAATCGTTGCATCGCGATTTTATTTTAGCCACGACCACGCTCTTGATCTCTGATTCCGCTTTATTTAGACCGCATACTTTGAGGTTAAAGGGAGATCGGGATAGCCTCAAATGATTACAAAATTCCACTGTTATAAAACTGCTTTGCGAACCTGCGTCTAATAATGCTCTAGCTACTCGTCTTGTGCCATTTTGATCGAAAACGTCGATTAAAACCGTGGAGAGTAATACTTGCGCATTGTTCGAGATGCTTTGTGAGGATAAATTAACGCTTTCCGATTGTACTGCATCGTTTTGAGATTGTACAGTTGTCGTGTTACTCGATTCCGGGTGTAACATTGTGTTATGCCGCGCTTGACACAACTTACATCCACTGGCACGACACTGTTTCACCATGTGACCTGGCCTAAAACAATTTAAGCACAGCCTAATTTTCTTTGCTTCTTCGCTTCTATCGTTTATGTTTAATTTCGCGAAATCAGGGCAGTTCTGTATAAAGTGTTCCTTTTTACAAAACGGACAATAAGTTTTAGTAGTTAGAAAAGATTTTGTTTTACCTAGCTCACGTTTTTGCTTCGGAAAACCTTTAACCGACTTGTTATTTTCTAAGGTCTCCAAGAGATCAGCACATTCTTTCAAAAAGTCTTTAAGGTTGTCTAGACTTGGGTTGCTGAACAAAGCTTTTTTCTGCTTCCACTCGCGCTCAGTATTCGAGTCTAGCTTTGTAGTGATTAAATAGGTCATTAAAGTATTCCAAAATTCAGTAGGTTCTTTTAACATGGTCAAAACGCGTAAATGTTTTATAACTTCATTGATAATCTTTCGCAATGAACCCGACGATTCCTCATGTATTTTCTCGAGAGTGAACAAAGCCTTGACATGATTGTGCGTTAATATTCGCGAATTATTAAAACGCTTGCAAATAAGATCCCAAGCCACCATGTAATTTTGACTCGAAAATTCTAAACTAGCTATTATTTGGCAAGCACCACCTGACAAAGAAGCTCGAAGATAGTGGAACTTTTGTATTTCTGTTATAGAACTGTTCTGATTTATCAGTGACTCAAAAGTATCCCTGAATTCAAACCAATGTTCATATTTTCCATCAAAGGTTGGCAACTGTATAACGGGAAGCTTAATATTTTGCATTGATTGTACCAAATTATTCGATTGTTGCACGTTTACGCTATTCACACTGCTTGTACCAGGACCGCCGGACGCGGCAGTTGATTCGGTAGTCGATTCTACCAAGCTCGGACTTGGACAGTTTTTTAAAAATGCTTTAGCTTTGCCGACATTGTTATAGAAAACCTCATAAGATGCTTCGCGTTCGTTTTCACCGCAATCAGAAGTTTCATCTATTTGACTTTGAATGTCCTCAAATTCATCTATTAAGTTTAAAAAACGTTCCAGGCACTGCTCTAGCTCGACTGATACATTATGCTCGGTTATAATTTTGTTGGGAAACGTTTTCTCTAAATTTATGATAAATTTACTGAAAATTATTAACTTAGATTTGACTGTGCCTCGCTTTTTTACTAAAGTTAAAGTAGAGTTTTTCTACTAAAGACATGACGCTGGCAAAAAACGGTCAGTGCTGTAATGAATCGGGAAATGTAAACAAGGAATTGGGCAAAACTTACGATTGAATGCGTGACCTCGACTGCAGATGTCTCGTGCTTGTTGCTAAGGGTGGCGGACGGCTGGCTGCTCGAGATGACCCAGCGCTATTGAAACTACGACCTCAGGCTAATCACACTGCAGCTATGAAGACCTTATCCGGGCAAAGGTCCAAATGTTTTTGTGTTTTACTGGTAATATCAATAACAAGACGTAGTGGACTGTATCTTTATTTGAACTTCGTGTACAACCGTTCTCTACCACAGCTAGAGACAAACTAAAACTTTATTTGCTCCGCGCAGGGAGCTCATGTTACAGGGTGGGAAGCGCGGTGGCTCGAACACCGGCAACGGTTTGCTTTGACAACAAATACAAAATCTATTCTAAACAGGTTGTTAACATTACTTTTATACTGATTTTTAAAAAAACATTCGGGCCTTTTTTTTACTATCGGAACACACCTCGTCAACAACTCTTAAAACTGATATACCTTATATCTCCAATCAAGCTCAAAAATCCACGTTAAATTTAATTAAAAAAGTTAACGTTTTATTTATTTCCATTTACAAAAATTATTGTCACCCTTTGTTGTCACTGAAAATTATTCTGTCACTATGAACTACCCTTGAAAGGGTCAAGTATTCTAATCCAAATAACAGGCCTGCTATCACTTTAAATTTGAGTTAAAATTTTAACATAACATCTATACTGATTTATAACTACTTTTATTGCCCTTCATTGTCATTAGAACCCACCCTGTCAACTACCCTTAAACAGGTAATATCGTATATCCCCTATATAAGGCAGAAAGCCATAATAGATTTTAAGTAAATTGTTAAAATTATATTTATATTGACTTATAACAACTATTGATACCGATTGCTGCCACCGGAATCCACCCCATCAACTACCCTTAAATCACTTGTGTATTATATCTCCGGTATCGAGCTTAAAGCCAATATGGATTTTAAGTAAATTGTTAAAATTATATTTATATTGACTTATAACAACTATTGATACCGATTGCTGCCACCGGAATCCACCCCGTCAACTACGCTTAAATCAGTTGTGTATTTTATATATATAGTTATTATAAGACAATATAAGTGTAACGTTAACAATTTACTTAAAATCTGTTATGGCTTTAAGCTTGATATCATGTACGTACTGCACAACTGATTTAGGGGTAGTTGGTATTAATAGTTATCATAAGTCATTATAAATATAATTTTAACAATTTCCTTAAAATCTATTATGGTTTTAAGCCTGATACCGGGGAAATAATACACAACTGATTTAAGGGTAGCTGACGGGGTGGATTCCGGTGGCAAGAAAGTCAGTATAAAAGTAATGTTAACAACCTATGTCAAATTTAGGGTGGTACAGGACTCATTTTCTGAAATACATGTATCTATGTTTTAAGGGTGGTTAATATGGGGGGTGGCTTCTGATGATGGGGAGGTGTTGTTTTCGTCTACAGAAGCCAGAATTTAGGTGGTAAAATCATTTTAAGTACGATTAAACGTGATATTATGGGTTTTAATTTTCGTTCAAACGAACGTTCGGAACTTCAGGTACATTATGATTGAAACAAATATTGTCACAGTATGGTTTCGCAAAAAAAAGTAGATAAATTATGTTTTATTATTCTCCATATATCATAATGGAGATCCATCAAAGACTACTAGGCAGAAATTCAGTAAAATGGATGAAAAGTATGACTTACTTCATTCTTTCTTAGTAGTGACTAGACCAGGGTAATTGTACTGCTAGGCTGAAAAGCATTTATATGAATTATTTTTTACTAAAATCACTATATAGTACAAAAACTATATAAAAAATTATCTATATTTTAATATTCCATTGAAAAACGTATAAAACTTTTACAAAAATGTAAATGAACAAACAGTTAAACCCATTTTTCTTAAAACTAAAGTTTTTTAGTTACTGAATTTATCACTAGGACGGCAGTATACAGGGTGTTTCTTAATAACGTGCTAATATTTAAGGTTATTCTTGGGTCCATTTTAAGAAAAAAACTTCATATGAACATATGTCCTAAAAGTCTTAACCACAGGGTGCTAAAGTTTTATGAAAAAACTTTTTTTGTGATAACTAGTATCACCCTAGATATTTTTTCAAATTTGGTACACGCCTTCTATTCATCGAGATGCATTTTCTGATGTACAAACAATTTTATTATTTTTGCCAGTGGCGACTGTACAGGTTTTGTATTGAATATTGTTGAAGAAAAATGTCACGCCAGGGTAATTTTCTTTTACCAATCCAAAATGTATGTAGATTACTGTAATTTCATAATTTCAATGTTTAAAAGTTATTATCTTCAATAAATAAATTGTTCAAAATTATATAATTTTTTTTTCTCGTAAATAAGATGCAAATGAATGAATTTTATTTTTTTATGCGAAAACCGTACGTCTAATGAAAAAATTCAAGACACCACATTTGCTCAGAAAGGAATGAGGATTTCAAAAATGATTTTTACTTAAAGAAAAAGCAATGGCGTCACATTTTTTCTTCAAAAATATTCAATACAAAACCTGTACAGACGCCACTGGCAAAAATAATAAAATTGTTTGTGCATCAAAAAATGTATGTTGATGAATAGAAGGCGTGCACCAAATTTGAAAAAATATGTAGGGTAGGTAATACCAGTTATAATAAAAAATGTTTTTTCATAAAACTTTAGCACCCTGTAGTTTAAAAGTTAAGACTTTTAGGACATATGTTCATATGAAGTTTTTTTCTTAAAATGGACCTAAGAATAACCTCCTTAAATATTAGCACATTATTAAGAAACACCCTGTATATATAAAATTGCAAGAAGTGAGAGACAACTATTACTAAACAAAATCATTACTTGAAAATACTTTACCTTCGTTTTCCTTATTTTCTATCCTAACTGTTACGAGTGGATGACGACTGTATGTGTGGTCAACAAATTTTGAACCACCTTCCAAACAAGCAAATAAAGTTGGAACTGCATTGTGGATTAATCGTTTGCACTCCTTATTCATGTACATTTTTTTTTCAAAATGTATACTGCACAATCGGTGGCTTTGATTCAACGAATTTAACCTATCAAACAAATCCTCTCTGTTACAGGCCAATGCCCATATTTTTGCTCTAAAAAATATAAAATTTGAAAACATGTTATAGAAATACAAAACAGATGTACAACAAACACATACCTATCAATATCCTTTGGAAATCGAAAAAAACTCAATTGAGTATTAGACTGCCGGCTATTACAATTTTTGGCAGCACATGAAACGCCATATTTCCTTTCAACTCCACAATTCATAGTTTTTATATTGTCTTTTATTTTCTAACACTTAATTTGTCCTTAATTTTAGAATGCCTTATAGAATAATATACACTCCAGCAATCCATTTATTTACACCACAACACATAAAACACAATAAAACTAAAACATGCAAAACGACAGCAATGCCAACGACAATATACAATTCTGTGGCCATAGAAAAAGAATAACGCACGGGATAAGACGCCATTATTCCATGGCTAGAAATTGGCCTCAATGATTTGGGATCGAGAGAGATTATCCCTATTTATCCTGCCTCATCTCGTGAAGGCCGGACAGCCTTCGTAGATGGGCCCCATCCGTCGTCTACACCTACCGCAAATGTGGCCGGTGTAGGCGCTTTGTGGGACCTCCTTTTGTCCTGGCTGAACCCCGCCGGCTAAGGCCCTTTCTTCTGGCGCTCTTCTTGCTTCGCCGACTCGTCTGTGTAACTGTAAACCCTGGAGGTGGTGTCATGTTTATGTGTGGTATGGTTAGGTAGGGTAGTGCGGCTATGCAGCCTGGGATGCGGTTTGCTAGGTTAGCGAGGGGGAGGTGTAAGGAGTATGTGTGTGTGCGTGTGTGTGTGCGTGTGTGCGTGGGTGCGTGCGCGTGTGGGTGTGCGTGTGCTTATGTGTGTGCGTGTGCGTGCGTGTGAGGGTGTGTGTGCGTGTGTGGGTGTGTGTGCGTGTGTGGGTGCGTGTGTGTGTACGTGTGCGCGTGTGGGTGTGCGTGTGTTTGTGTGTGTGCGTGTGCGTGCGTGGGTGTGCGTATGCGTGTTCGTTCGTTTCTTGATGCTGGCGGTTTCTGAAACAGAAGAGATTAGCGGGCAGGGGGGGATGTCCTTGGGGTGATCACCCAGGGGCAAAAAGTTGGTGTCTAGGTCTTTTGTGTTTGTCGGTCACGTCGGGTACGTAGTCAACGGCTTGCCTGTGGTGGGGATTGTCATGTCTAGCGGCTATGTCAAACGGTTTCTCGGCGTTTTGTCTTATTGTCTGTGTAGCGTTTGTGTATTGTAAGTCTCCTAATATGTCAGCAGTGTTGTTCCTGTCGGTACAAATGTACTGAAATCAGTACAATTAACTGTTTTGCAGTACATCAGTACACTGATACTGATTTTCAGTACCTTGCGGGATTGACTGCTTTATTTTTAAAATGTTAATAAATATGAATGACGTCACGCAATTGTTTCATTGTCGGCATAATTTTCAGTCTTGCCACGTTTAAAAAAACCTTTTGTAATTTAATGTAACCATTTAATGTAATATTTAAGGCTTTTTTTCGCGTGTGAAGTCGTATGTTGTGGTATGTGTAATATGAGTGAGTAAAGAGATTTAAACTACCATATAACAACTAAGATCAAAAGAGATTGAAATAGTGGCCACAAGTCAGATATTCACCAATATTCAATCGCGAAAAAAAGCCTATAGTTTCATTATTCTCAGTTGCGATTTCTTTTATATTTTGATAAAAATATGACATTTATTTGTTCATAATATGAAGTGTATTGCTTGAATTCCTGCCGTTACTATACCATTTTGTATATTTGTACAATGTACACTTAATATTAGATATTAAAAAGTTAGTCATTATTGTGTTTCTTTTCACATACAATCTGATTCGACGTTTTATAAGTATTACACACATACTATTCAAGTATTGCCTTTTTAAAATTTTGAATTTCCCGCGTCAGTACAATTTAGTTTCAAATCAGTACATTGGTATCACTGATTTCAGTACATAGAAATATATCCCAGGAACAACACTGTATGTCAGTGTTTCTTACGTACCAGGGCGCGTCGGTGGCCGTGCGGAGGGCTATGTTTTCCACAGCCTGTAATGACTTTCAGTGGCTTTTTGCCGCGTGACCCCACGCCGTGGAGGCGTAGGTTAGCTGCGGTTGAAGTACCACCTTGATAAGCGTTCGCTTATTCCTTAAACTGAG